AGCAAAAAAAAGCCAATTGATCGAAAAATGTTAGCAATTTATCAAACTTTCTATAAATTTTTGTTTTAAATAATCATTTGAACATGGAGACGTAGTGAAGGTTCCTGCCTTATTATTTCACGACTTTACTATTAATTAACACGACACTGTATCTCCCTTGTTTACGAATGTCACATTTTGACTTTCTGCATCGCTGATGATAAGCTCTAAATGTATGACCATGGACATAACGTAACATCAGTTCATGATACTGATGCTCAAAGTCTTACATGGGTATTTTAGTAAAGGGAGATCATTAAAGGCGACGATGATACCGTTTCTTTCAAGGTTTATGAACATAAAATTATTTACAGTTACATTACGTTACATCTTGTCTTTTTTCTGTTTCTTTGTGAAGGATGATACTGAATATTCTGCATTGTATTCCCTCTTAAATAACTTAGATGTTTTGATAAGAACACGTCTGTTAGTTTTATAAAGTGTTCTGTTATAACTTTGAATTACTCTATCAGCGGTCTCTGCAGGTAGGGCGTAATATTTGTACCTACTGCACCCATTGCCTAATCGTAAGAGGCGACTCAATTTGGGATCTTAACATTTCTCTTCTTTCTAAACAACTCTCTTCTTCCTTATGTCTCCCTTGCCAATGCCTCACTTTTGGCCTTTAGTTAAGCGTTCGCCCCTGTGAGGAAGGCTTTGGGTTCTGTTTGGGTAGCCGATACATACCAGTCTGTAAAAATGGTAGTTTCTACTCCTGCTTAACGCCCTGCAATTTGGAAGTGGGACGACTGGTTCGCACGTTGTCAATATAATGTGACCGGGTGGGGTGTCTTGCTGGATTCTTCGGCAGTATGTTTAAGTGAGGTAGCACTAAAAAGTCGGCATCGGTTCCGCGCTATCACAAGGAGACAAACACGAACATATCGCAGCCTACCAAAACACACACATGCACTACACGCATGCACCTTCACACAGAGGAGGCCGTTCCAAAATGACCATAGCTGTTGATAGGATGTTAAACAATACTTAACCAAACCAAACTCTATCAACGATTAAGTAAGGGATTACGGCCATTCATGCTTTCGGTGCTTGGAAAGATATAACAAATATGACAAAAAGACATTCCGTTTCCTCTGAATGAGGTATGAACAAGATAATGTGTAGCTTAAACACGAGTATAGTCTTATCCCTGAGTGTATGAAAAGAACTGTACTGCGTGATTACAATAAAAGTTCATTTAACATTTTTTAATGTTACGGTAAGTATTAAATATTTCATAAATGAAAATGTCTCTTCGTGGTAACGTGCTTTGCTTTGGTTTCGTAATGACCTAAGCTGTTCATAAAAACGCTAAACCCAATAATAGCCAAATAAAACGACCCACCACATGTACTTGATAATGCTGGTTTATGGTTAAACATTTCAAATCTACCTTTCAGGAAACTAGGCATTAGCGTTGTCAATTTAGGAATATCTTAATTCTGAAACACATTTTTCGTGTATTTCATTACCTTTAAAAGTTTCAAATGTCGTTTCTTATTTTGCTAAATCAAGAATGCAATAATCTCATTGTAAACAGGTTTTGTTGTGCTCGTTACACTAACTGTATTTTGGGTTTGTTGTGCTTGTTACAGTAATTGTATACTGGGTTTGTTGTGCTTATTACAGTAATTGTATACTGGGGTTGTTGTGCTCGTTACAGTAATTGTATTTTGGGCTGGTTGTGCTTGTTACAGTAATTGTATGCTGGGGTTGTTGTGCTTGTTACAGTAATTGTATGCTGGGGTTGTTGTGCTTGTTACAGTAATTGTATACTGGGGTTGTTGTGCTTGTTACAGTAATTGTATACTAGGTTTGTTGTGCTTGTTACAGTAATTCTGTACTGGGGTAGTTGTGCTAGTTACAGTAATTGTATTTTGGGTTTATTGTGCTTGTTACAGTAATTGTATACTAGTTTGTTATGCTTGTTACAGTACTTGTATACTGGGGTTGTTGTGCTTGTTACAGTAATTGTGTACTGGGTTTGTTATGCTTGTTACAGTAATTGTATACTGGGTTTGTTATGCTTGTTACAGTAATTGTATACTGGGTTCGTTGTGCTTGTTACAGTAATTGTATACTAGTTTGTTGTGCTTGTTACAGTAATTGTATTTTGGGTTTGTTGTGCTTGGTACAGTAATTGTATACTGGGTTTGTTGTGCTTGTTACAGTAATTGTATACTGTGTTCGTTGTGCTTGTTACAGTAATTGTATACGGGGGTTGTTGTGCTTGTTACAGTAATTGTATACTGGGTTCGTTGTGCTTGTTACAGTAATTGTATACTAGTTTGTTGTGCTTGTTACAGTAATTGTGTACTGGGTGTGTTGTGCTTGTTACAGTAATTGTATACTGGGGTTTTTGTGCTTGTTACAGTAATTGTGTACTGGGGTTGTTGTGCTTGTTACAGTAATTGTATACTGGGTGTGTTGTGCTTGTTACAGTGATTGTATACTGGGGTTGTTGTGCTTGTTACAGTAATTGTATTCTGGGTTCGTTGTGCTTGTTACAGTAATTGTATACTAGTTTGTTGTGCTTGTTACAGTAATTGTGTACTGGGTGTGTTGTGCTTGTTACAGTAATTGTATACTGGGGTGGTTGTGCTTGTTACAGTAATTGTGTACTGGGGTTGTTGTGCTTGTTACAGTACTTTTATACTGGGTTCGTTGTGCTTGTTACAGTAATTGTATACGGGGGTTGTTGTGCTTGTTACAGTAATTGTATACTAGTTTGTTGTGCTTGTTACAGTAATTGTATTTTGGGCTTGTTGTGCTTGTTACAGTAATTGTATACTGGGTGTGTTGTGCTTGTTACAGTGATTGTATACTGGGGTTGTTGTGCTTGTTACAGTAATTGTGTACTGGGGTTGTTGTGCTTGTTACAGTAATTGTGTACTGGGGTTGTTGTGCTTGTTACAGTAATTGTATACTGGGTTCGTTGTGCTTGTTACAGTAATTGTATTTTAGTTTGTTGTGCTTGTTACAGTAATTGTATACTGGGTTTGTTGTGCTTGTTACAATAATTGTGTACTGGGTGTGTTGTGCTTGTTACAGTAATTGTATACTGGGGTTGTTGTGCTTGCTACAGTAATTGTATACTGGGTTTGTTGTGCTTGTTACAGTAATTGTGTACTGGGGTTGTTGTGCTTGTTACAGTAATTGTATACTGGGTTCGTTGTGCTTGTTACAGTAATTGTATACTAGTTTGTTGTGCTTGTTACAGTAATTGTGTACTGGGGTTGTTGTGCTTGTTACAGTAATTGTATACTGGGGTTGTTGTGCTTGTTACAGTAATTGTATACTGGGTTTGTTGTGCTTTATTCCAGTAATTGTGTGCACTGGAGACGTCTGTACCAACATATATAACGGAACTGTAGAAGGAATGTACCTAGAAGGATATACGTACAAGAGCATGTCCAATTTCGGATTCCAACAATGTTTGGCGGAGTGCCTGAAACGGCATGAATGTAGGAGTGTCAACTTCGAAAAGGACCAAATGTATTGTCTGCTTAATACGGAAACAGTTGAAAATACAAGTATGCTAACAAGCCACAGAGGGAGTGTATTCAAGGATATGAATATAACAACTAACATACAGGTATACTATAACAAATGTTAATCGGATAGAGACATGCATATTAATGATTGTCTTCGATGTTTGTAGGATGTTAATAATATAATAATAATACATAACATTTCATATAGCGCCCTGTCTAGCTAACATAAGCCAATCTAAAGCGCTTGACAGTACATAAGTATACAATTAATACAATTAGCATATACATTAACTACTGGTCCTATGCCACCTGACTAATTTCTTCCTTTGTTGGTATGCATGTGCGTATGCTGGAGATGTATTGTATTCTGTTAAGAAATTCAAAGCCATGGCATATCGGTTTAGAGCTCGATTGCAATTGTCTTTTTATCGTTTGAAAATATTTGATAAATTATTTTATTTTTTTAAAGAAAACGTATTCTACAAGTGCGACATTTTATTTTGTAATGTTTTAAATACATAATGCATGTCAGATTTTCCGGTTGACTCAGATAAGTTTGCATTCTCTGCTGATTTTTAATATTCGATGGCTGTCAGGGCAAATGAGCCAAATGGTTGCAAAAGTCATCGAATGAAGAAGTTTGTTCCTTTTATAAATGTTTTAGACTGGATCGATCCATGAAGCTTACACAAGATATACAAATAATGTAAAACGAAAATATCGATTTGTTTTTGAGAGAGTGTAATAATACATTAACGTGTTCCTGATTGTGGTAACTTGCATGTCCCCAAAAAGGGCAGAAAGCAAATTATACATGGCATCCGTGTCGCTTTCCTTAACACGAGGCTCAGTTTCTCTTAAAGGATGCATGTTCTGTGGTTAATAATGACGGATATTTGACCCTTTGATTGTAACCACATATTTTGTTTTTAAATGTTTGTTTTTTTATTCAGGCCAATGGGTGTCAGAAGGAGACATGTCCCTTTTTTAACACGTGTGTGCTACTGAGCAGTGGAAATACCGTTTGTCTAGGTTAGTTATCCTTTTTATATGAAATTGATAAAACTCAACATTTTTTTTCAATTTTAAGATTATATTTGTTCTTTACAAGACAGGACAACACTCAGTCACCCTAGACACTCACCTTATATGAATGATGCACTGAGCATATGACTGAATGCAGCTTTTTATTTTACAGCTATAACGACGAATGTGTCAAACGTTTTGATAAAATAACATGATCAGTATGACATAATCACTTGTACCCCTGAACACATATAGTTCCGCTGATAACATAAATAATTTGATTCTGGTACATATAAATTGTTAACCAATCTAACGATTTACGACTTTTGGAAATGCAGTATAACATGCATGCACTGCATATTGTTTATTTATTATTGATGATGTTATATGCTTGACAAAAATGTTGCAACAAAAACGAAATTAATTGACGTATCGGGATATATGGAACAAATATTTATGTTATTGAGCTTGAATTTGTTTAAATTAGAGCCTGCATCAGCAATAACTACAGAATCGCCAACATCAGCTACTACAGAATCATCAACAACTACACCTGAATTGCCAACAACTACAACAACATCCAGTACAGAATCGCCAACTACAACTACAGAATCTCCGACAACTACAACACAATCGCCACCAGCAACTACTTCAGAACCGCCAACAACTACAACAACTTCTACAGAATCGCAAACAAATACTACAGAAACGCCAACTACAACAACTACAACAGAATCGCCGACAACTACAACAACTACTACAGAATCGCCGACAACACCAACTACTACAGATTCGCCAACTACAACAACTACTACAGAATCGCCAACTACAACAACTAATACTACAGATTCGCCAACAACCACTACAGAATTGTCGACAACTACAACAACTACTACAGAATCGCCGACAACTACAACAGAATTGTCGACAACACCAACTACTACAGAATCGCCGACAACTACTACAGAATTGTCGACAACTACAACAACTACTACAGAATTGCCGACAACTACAACACTTACTACAGAATCGCCGCCAACTACAACAACTACAACAGAATCGCCAACAACACCAACTTCTACAGAATCGCCGACAACTACTACAGAATTGCCGACAACTACAACAACTACTACAGAATCACCGACAATAACAACAAACTCGCAAACAACACCAACTACTACATAATTGCCGACAACTACATCACTTACTACAGAATCGCAGCCAACTACAACAACTAATACTACAGATTCGCCAACTACAACAACTACTACAGAATTGCCGACAACTACAACAACTACTACAGAATCGCCGACAACAACTACTACAGAATTGCTAGCAACAACAACAACAGGTAACCCGTGAATCATTACGAATCAATAACACTTAAATAATCCCATGATCATATTTCATGTACATACATATTTTTTGATTGTTCGTTATAGATTATTTACCAATCCCGTGATTCAATAACGAGATTTTTGAAATCAGTTTCTTCTAATACAATACTCGGCTTCTTTTTTGCGTACTATTGTTTATTCATATTTTTCATTTTTTCATGATGAAAAAAGCAAATGAGTATCAGCTGATACAAAAAAAGACTTACAATACCTATAATGCATTGATTACCACTTTAATACGTATTGTTTTCATAAGTTCAAAAGATTGAACAATATACACTTTTGTAGCAAAAATAAACAAGCTACAATTAAGAGGGGCATCTCAATGATAAGTGTAGTGTTAAGGTGAAATGTTGACGTTGCGTTGAGCGTAAACAAATCATAATTTCGAAATGACCCCAAAGGTTGCTTTATAAAAAGACTGTTAAAAATTCTGTAAACATTAGGTAAAGAGCTTTTGACACAATATTCAATTGCATGTTTGCCATCAAAATTATCATAATTTGTTGAATTGAAAATAAAATCTTGTCACACTAAATCAAAACGATATTTGAACGTGATTTCAACCTCAGTGAGCAAATTGTGAAACTAGTATTTCATATTAACTGTACAAGAATAAGTTTTGAAACTTTTATAGTAATCTTTGTTAAGTGAAATATAATTTTTGCTGTGCTGATTAAATGCCACAAAACGATCAAATTGATACTGAAGGTAAAACACGGGTGAATATAAACGTTCTCGATTACATAATATATCAAGCTGGTTTCATATGAACGAATCGTATGGTTACTGTTGCTGGAGTTTCTTCATGGAAAAAAATCATCGATGCCGTTACTTATTTGTTATTTAACTTCAAATGAAAATAACAACAGGATAATACCGAAGTAGCAGGAAACAATGATTCGAACTCAAAATCGATAATCTAGGAAAAAATATGAAAAGGAAATATATACCTGGTTATCATTGAAAAGGTAAAAGGATATTAAGACTATGTGTTCCTGAAGGATGGTTTTGTTCTGTTTAAGTTTGTGTTAAACAAACACTTTACTATTAGTACTTCACATCATTGAGGACTTCCGGAAGGGTAAGCGTCGATACGTTCGATACGTTCGTAATCTTTTGACTTTTTCCTCAGATTCGATGCCGACATGCCCATCTCCGTACAGTTATAATGTCGCCACGAACCTGTGTCTGTACCTCAGCCCTAGTCCGTCCAGTCAGTCTGACGCCGCCAGTACGTGTACACAGATGAGTGGCCGACTTGTTGTAGCGGAAACAACGACCAACCAGTTAGCGATGGGGGATCTAATGTTGTCAACAGTCAATAGTATGTAGTTAACAATAGTATGTAGTTATCAATAGTATGTAGTTAACAATAGTATGTAGCTAACATTAGTATGTAATACACAATAGTATGTAGTTATCAATAGTATGTAGTTAACAATAGTATGTAATTAACAATAGTATGTAATACACAATAGTATGTAGCTAACAATAGTATGTAATACACAATAGCATGTAGTTAACAATAGTATGTAGTTAACAATAGTATGTAGTTAACAATAGTATGTAATACACAATAGTATGTAGTTATCAATAGTATGTAATTAACAATAGTATGTAATACACATTAGTATGTAATACACAATAGTATGTAGTTATCAATAGTATGTAGTTAACAATAGTATGTAGTTAACAATAGTATGTAGTTAACAATAGTATGTAATACACAATAGTATGTAGTTATCAATAGTATGTAGTTAACAATAGTATGTAATACACATTAGTATGTAATACACAATAGTATGTAGTTAACAATAGTATGTAGTTAACAATAGTATGTAGTTAACAATAGTATGTAGTTAACAATAGTATGTAATACACAATAGTATGTAGTTATCAATAGTATGTAGTTAACAATAGTATGTAATACACATTAGTATGTAATACACAATAGTATGTAGTTAACAATAGTATGTAGTTAACAATAGTATGTAGTTATCAATAGTATGTAGTTATCAATAGTATGTAGTTAACAATAGTATGTAGTTATCAATAGTATGTAGTTAACAATAATATGTAATACACAATAGTATGTAGTTAACAATAGTATGTAGTTAACAATAGTATGTAGTTAACAATAGTATGTAGTTAACAATAATATGTAATACACATTAGTATGTAATACACAATAGTATGTAGTTAACAATAGTATGTAATACACCATAGTATGTAATACACAATAGTATGTAGTTAACAATAGTATGTAGTTAACAATAGTATGTAGTTAACAATAGTATGTAGTTAACAATAATATGTAATACACATTAGTATGTAATACACAATAGTATGTAGTTAACAATAGTATGTAATACACCATAGTATGTAATACACAATAGTATGTAGTTAACAATAGTATGTAGTTAACAATAGTATGTAGCTATAAATAGTATGTAGTTAACAATAGTATGTAGTATACAATAGTATGTAGTTAACAATAGTTTGTAGCTAACAATAGTATGTAATACACAATAGTATGTAGTATTCAATAGTATGTAGTTAACAATAGTATGTAATACACATAGCATGTAGTTAACAATAGTATGTAGTTAACAATTATAAAGTCATAAAGGTAACATATTAACAATCAAAGGTTTGTAACTTGCCCGTTTGTTTGTGTAATAAATTAAGCTATCGTAAACAAGCTCAATTGAATCAACAAAATTGTATAGTGTGTGATAGCAGGTCTGACTGGTAATGCAGTTTGAAATATCATTACCTGGTTCGGTCACTAGGATATTTACATCAACAAGAAAAAATTCAACAACCGCTTCGTGCGGTTCCAAATAGCAATTTCACATAAAATATTTGTATTTCGACGACGTGTGTTTTAAATATTTGATCCAGTGACAGATAACAACTTTCTTATTACTAGGGAAACAAACCACCCTATTTAATTTAGTTCATGGTGTGAAATGTTCTTGATTACCAGGTGACACTGCAAAGAATTCCATAGCTAATTTGATGCCATGAGTTTATAGGACGTTTGTCCGGTTGTAAGGGTCTCTTTTGGCGTCCGTGATTTAGACGCGACTACAGATCCGATATTGTCCTTGTCTATTGGCGCGGTATGTACTTATTTATCTGGTGCCTATTTATCGGTTACAGATTGCTGGGTCGGTGCTACGTGGGACAGTTCACTAAGTCAATACAGATGGTTGAATGGTCATGCAATCACTGAAACATTGGCAGCCAGCGGGAACTGTGTGCGGATCCGACAAGACGGTGTTGTACTAAAAGGAACGTGTAGCATTGCGATTGGCTTCATCTGTGAACAGATGTAACATTCATATACGATTATTGTTATTGTACGCTTTATAACCCCAAAGTTTTAACGAGTAAAGCAGTATTTTTTCTGATATCAGTTGTTTGTGCCGTTAGTTTTCTCTTGCTTTATATTTTCTAAAATCTGATCTCATTGATATACGATGTCAAATACACTTACCACAGTCTAAACCTGTCTTATTGATATACGATGTCAAATACACTTACCACACAGTAATAACCCTGTCTTATTGTTATATGATGTGAAAGACACCTACCACAGTAATATCATGTCTTATTGATATACGATGTCAAATACACTTACCACGGTTATACTCCTGTCTTATTGATATACGATGTCAAATACACTTACCACACAGTAATAACCCTGTCTTATTGTTATATGATGTCAAAGACACCTACCACAGTAATATCATGTCTTATTGATATACGATGTCAAATACACTTACCACAGTTATACTCCTGTCTTATTGATATACGATGTCAAAAACACTTACCACAGTACTACTCCTGTCTTATTGATATACGATGTCAAAAACACTTACCACAGTAATAATCCTGTCCTATTGATATACCATGTCAAATACACTGACCACAGTAATACTCCTGCCTTATTGATATACGATGTCAAATACACTTACCATATTAATACTCTTGTCTTATTGATAAACGATGTCAAAAACACTTACTTCAGTACTAAACCTGTCTTATTGATATACGATGTCAAAGACACTTACCACAGTAATACTCTTGTATCATTATAACAACCGTCCCTCTATCCTTTCTCTCTTACCTGACTGTCTTATCTAGGCACCCGTTTGCATTAGTCCTTTATATTGCGAGGACGTTAAGAGCTTGATGATGTGACGTTCAACATTGTCCAATGACCTTGACGTTGAAGAAAGTTTGTGTGTATTTTAGTTACAAACTAACGGTTTGGTTCGTTTTTTTTGTTTAGGTCCTATGTACAGCGAAGGTAATTTAAGATCGTGACTCAATGTGTTTTGTGTATGCATACATTTGTGTATGTATGCGGGAAACAGGATATGTTGGTGTATTTGTCTGCTTGTGATAGCGCGAACCTGATACCGACTGTGTAGTGCTATCTCACTGAAATACTATGCCGAAGGCGTCCAGCACAGCATTCCCCTCGGTCGCATTATACTGACAACGGGTGAACTAATTGTGTCATTTCTCTGATTGTTGAACGGTAAGCAGGGAATAAATTGCTCCATATATAATACTCCACAAAGAATATCGCACTGTTCACGTACATTTCGATTAATGTAACCTCAGCAGCGATGCTGCAGATGGAAACAAGAAAATGCAAAACTGAGATTTATACAACATGCGATATTTAACACATCGGAGAAGAATAAAATATTTTTATTAATTTTGTGTGACGTCCTAATAACGGCTAAGACCATTGAAGAACATGCCTCC